TAATCACCGTTTATCAGAGTCTTTTATTTCGTTCTTTAGACTTCTTCGTCTTTTACATTGCAATTTTCTTTTTTCCTCGTCTTTTACATATCAATTTTCTTCGTTCTTCGTCTTTTACATTTCAATTTTCTTCTTTCTTCGTCTTTTACATTTCAATTTTCTTCTTTCTTCGTCTTTTGCATTTCAATTTTCTTCTTTCTTCGTCTTTTACATTTCAATTTCCTTCTTTCTTCGTCTTTTACATTTCAATTTCCTTATGTCTTCGTCTTTTACATTTAAATTTTCTTCGGTCTTCGTATTTTGCATTTCAATTCTAAAACATTGATCAGATACGAAACTCTACTATTCTATTAACCGCTTAATTTAAAAACCCTAGAATACTTGTGCATCGAATTAGTCTTAAAATTAAATTTTAATCCTTAATTAGTTTTATAATTTTACTCAAAAATTACGTAGAATCTATAAACATCCCAAGTATTATATGCGCTCTGAGATGAATGAAAACGACAGCCCCCTTCCAAAACAGAAGGGATAATCTTATTAGATAGCAAAGAAATGAAACTGTTAAAGGAGTTAATTGCTCTTACAAATAAGAAAAGAAATTCTTTTATTACTTTTTTCTTACAATAGTTAGTATATTAAGAAATATTATCGGTATATTATTTATTTATTATCCATAAGCGAAATGACACCTTACGCTGGAGAATTATGGACGGAACTGAGTTTCTCGCTTAAAGCAAGAAGCCATCTCACAAGAAAGGTTAAAGGTTGAAGGAGGGTCCTCCCCTTCTTCCGGAAAGGCCCTCGCTGGGATCAATGGACCGACCTTTCTTGCTTTTGTGGGGAAGTTCGCAACACCTGTATAGCAGTGGCACGGCATGAAAACATTAAATTTCTCCTTATGCAGTATATCATAAAAGATTCCAATATAAACAATAGGTTTTAAAAATAAATCTCTCGTTTCTGTCATATGATTAAGAATTCATAGGAACTGTAATCTGAACTAAGAAAACAATGCATGATACGAAATGTCATAAATAAAATAAAATTGAAATTATTTGGCTCAAAATAAAGGCCCAGCATGTGCCACTATGAAAGTTGATGGAACTTAATATGATAAATTTTAGATATGCTCATTAAAAGTTATTACCTTTATTTTGCTTCGATTATTATTAAACTAAACTTACCTACGCATATGAGACATTTGTTTCACATACAGTGGCTCAAACATTTGAGAATACACCTTACTTTTACTTGATAAATCCAACTTTCGATATAAATAACACATTACCAAGAAGTGCAAACATGTTTTTATTTTTACACATAACAAATTGTTTAATTTGAAGTAAAAATAAAGAACAATCAACGAAAAACTTCTAAAATGAAAAGTTTCAGAAGCATTTTAAATAAACATTTGCAGATTTTTACCTCAAAAAATTGAGAATACACCAATGAAATTTT